TAATCGTGGCCTTCGTGTAATCGTGATCATGCGTAAATTAATCAAGCGTGACTTATTTATTATACGTTGTTTTATTATACTTGTGTTTTATTTGCAATGCTCTGGAGTGCTTACAAATGCAGTGGTATATCAAAAAGAAAACAAGAAAAACGAAAGCAGAAAACAGGGAACAGCGAGCAATAAGATAAAGAGGAAAGCACGAGTCCGTGATGTTAATTACACCATCATCAAAACATTTCTGTTAAAAAACAGATAAGTAACGATTACGAATCTTTTTTTAATTATACTCGTAAATGTAACAGTTGAAAGTGTTTATATGATAATAAAAGGAGATATTATGATATTTTAGCATTAAGCAATAATATAAATACGATGAGTTTTACAGTTGTCATCAATATCATTTTACAGAGTACCAACTCCGCTTGTGTGAATGTAAGAGAGTAAATACAGGACAAAAGAAAAAATTATAAACATTTTAGAAATTTGCAAAGAAGCAAAAAAATAAACAAGAGAAAAGAAAGAAAAGTTAAGCGAAGAAGGACGCTCCTAAGCGTTTCAAAAATACAAAAAACGTGAACAAGGACACGAATAATAGATAAGAAGAGGAAGGAAGGGAGAGAAGGATTCTATGCTCTTTTCTTTGTAAACAGCTACTTTATTTCAATAAATGATATTCATTTTAAGAGAAGTCATGCATGCTTTTCTATTACTTGTTTTACACGATTACTACGAAAAAACTGACCAAGATGATCGTTCTTTTTTTTTATGAAAATCATCTTCAAGAAAAATACCAGTATAGAAGAGTGAACGACCAAACTCCATTGTGTACATACATTTTAGTCGTCTTTGAATGTAGTGTTGAGCGTAAGCGTCTAATGAGAGTTTACTCTTTATAGTGTATAGATTACGAATTGAGACCAATTCGGAATTTCTGCTGTAATAGTTGTTGTTGTGACTCGGAAAGCAGGAGAAGGAGGAACATAACTAAGCAAAATGAGGAAATGTGTATGTGAAAAAACATTCTCTAAGCGCTATGGTGGAGATGAATCGTTTTGCCCTTAAACATCTAAGCTTCTCCAGGGATTTCTGAATATTTTCTATGCATGTATCAACGGGTTGGTGTTAGCGGTGATTCACCACCATTCTTCCCTTGATGCTTTTCTATCTCTTTCTTTCTTTTGATTTTTATTGTTAATGTTGTTTATCCTTTTCTTCTTTTCTCTTTTCTTTTTTTCTCTTTTCTTCTTTTGTCTTTCCTTCTTTTCTCTTTTCTACTTTCCTCTCTCTTCTCTTCTCTTTTCTATCTCTTGTGTTATATATATGTACTCTAATCTAAGAACATTTTAGCAAGGGGGAAAGTGCAGGTTCCTAGCACCAAATTTGCTCTATGATGCTGAGAAGGTGCCGGACGGATACTGAGATATTAATAGAGTTTAGAAAACATCATATGCTTAACTGCTATTATCATGATAAACTGACAACACTCTCTATTATATTCACTTCTGCATCCAATCTTAATGAACGTTCTTTGTATCCAATCAAATATTTACTCATTTCAATCTACTTTTTAACTCAACTTTACTCAGAAAAAGAAACTCATTGCCACGGTCTTCTTGTAACATGAAGAAGATCATTTGAGTTAAAACCTAGATGAAAATCGTCATAAACATATCTTATCTGACAACCTCAACTCTTTAAAAATTAGAATGCATCGGTAGTTCGGAGAAAAATTGAAAGAATACGTATATGTTATGGTTTTCTATGACAGACTCATCTTCAACCGAATAACACATATGTAGATCTTTCATCGTGTGCTATTATTTATTTCGATGTAGATTGATCATCTGTATATATTTTTGACGATGAATCTATTTATTTAAGATAAATATTCAATTTCTCATGCCATTAATAATTCCTGAAAAACAAAACAGTAATAGTTTACCAGATGATATTTTCAGTTATAATCAAGATAAATTTTATGAATTTGTTGAACATTGATATGATAATGAACTTACATAATTATTTAGTTTTCAAGCGATTCGAAATAGATCGCATCTTTCAAATATCACAGTTATTGATATATTATTGGTTTTACAACATGAGTCCGAGGATATTAACAAATTGAAAAACTTATGTTGCTTTCAATTTGCTGATAAACGGTTCGAAGTCAGATTGGATGTTAAACTTGCAATTAATAATTTGATCCAGTTATTCAATATCAAACAAGAACAAGAAAAAAAGAAACGACCTTTAGATCAACATTCATCATTCATTATTGATACATCAATATTTATTAATCAAACACAATCATAAAATGAAACAACTCTACCATCAGCAACATCAATAACATCATCGAATAGCGATACAAATCCAACACGGTCAAGATTAACACCAATACAGAACAAAATGAACAAAATCGATCATATACTTGATATTAAACATCGAATTAGTAAAAGGTGGAGTGGAATTGATAATGATAATTTATTATTAGATGAAGGTACACAGTACTTACTAGAGATCAACAAATCAATTAATAATTCATATACTTGTGTTTTATCCTGCCAATGCGGTATTCGATTTAAATTACTATTTACAGAGGCTGGTTTTTCAAATTATCATCGTTTTATCGTCATTTAAAAGAAAAACAATGTGTAAACCCACTGGATATAGTGAGTATTTCTCATGTTGAAAATCATTTTTATGAATGTTTTTACATTTAGACAAATGCAACAGAAAGTAACTCGGTTAATAAAGAAAATCAATTAAATCGCCCTTCGAAATCATCAAGTACAAAGTCGAAGAAGAATGAAATACCAACACCTATAACTTCCAAACGACCCCGATCATCATCTAAGGCAAGTATCTTCAAGCAGTAGCAAGATGAACGTAGAAAAGAATCGATTGTCTTCCTTGAATAATAGTAATGTGTTGCTGGACTAGAAAATTAGTTTTAACATTATGTTACAAAGAAATGGATGTTTGTTTGTTATCTCAAGATACAGAAATTGTGACGAAAAATGATAGAAGGGATGTTAGTGTCGATGGAATTACACTTTATTCTATTCCTTCATATCATATAATCGCCTTGAGACGATCAATGATACAAGGGATGTTAGTGTGATTGATGACATACTTTATTCTATTCCCTCATATCATACAATCATACCGTTTACATATAAAGCACACGCTTATATACACGAGTAGATTAAGAGAGGATGAAAAGAAAGAAGATGAGGTCAAGGCGAGAACACATAAAGAAGAACAATAGAGTAAGAGCATAGTGTGAGAATAGATAGATGAGAACGATACATATAATATACGAGTGAATGATGATATAGAATGAGAAGCACACTACGACAGTAAGAGAATATGGCTCAATTATGCATAAATGCACATAAAAGTAACGCGAGTGTGAACACTACGTATCATTGATTGTACAAGAACACACTAAGAAATAAAAGCTATCACATCAGATAATACGCCCATTGGCACAGAAATATCATTAAAAACATTTTATATTATATTTGTTGTCATATGTAACATTTTTTATTGTTACTTGTGTTCATATTACACTTTTTTCTTAGTTAAAAGAGTTTTTTGTGGCTATATTGATGTTATAGTTAAATGAAAAGAATTTTTTTTTTAAATTTCGCTTTCTTTATTGTTACACTCGGAAGTGCTTACAAAGATATCGAACGCATTTACAACTGTTTGATTAACACGACCATACACGATATACGCATATAAGAAAGCACAACAGAGTTATAAGATGCCACGTGATGTAAATAAAATGTGAAGAAAAATGAAAGAAAAAAGGAAAGAGTAATAAGAAAACAAAAAAAAGGGACAAGTAGAAAAAAAAGGAGAAGGAAAGAAAGAGGAAAGAAGGTGAATGCGAGGGAGAAAAAGAAAAAGAGTAGTACTCACAGAGTAATACACGGACTCCATTCGTACAGAAATTCAAGCCATTGAAGAAGCAGTGATTGATGCCTTGCACGCATCTGTCTAACTCGTTTCATTCGGAAAAAATGTCCCAGACGATCATTTTTATTTTTACGGAACGCATTCCAATAAAATATATCATTGTAAAAGGGCGAGCGTCTTAAATCAGATTTTTCAATCCGTTCTAATCTTTTCTTTATATATTTTTTAACATACTCTTCTAATGACTTTTCATTTGTTATCTGAAGAAGATCTGTTGCTCTTGCAAAAGAACAGCGATGAACCAGCCTTAATCCGTTTCTAAATTTTCTTAGAAGTAATTCTTTTTGAGATTTAGGCAGGAATGGATATAGGGGAAATATCCAGGCGAAATATGGAAAACTGTAAGCAAAAAAACATTTTCGCAAGACCTCTGTTGAGACAGTCTTACCACTTTTCATCCATCTTAATTTACTAAATGTTCTTTGAATGTTTTCAAGGGTTCTATCAATCATTGGTTTTAAGGACATCTTATTTGTCCAAGTAAATGAAAAGAAATTAGATAATCTTTTTGTGTTTGAAACGAAACTATTTGTACTTGTAACTGTTTTTAGCTAGAATAAAAAAGGATCGACTTGACATTAAATAGACTGATTCATTTTCTCTTTCCAGTATTGATGTTTTAGTTATAGTTAGGTCTAGGATAAGCAATATCTTATAAACAAGAATCCCATATCGTAAATACCAGTATTTATCAAAACCGATTGTTTACCACGGTAAATTGCAGTAATGGGAGCTGGTAATCGGATCGGTAAAACCGCGGTAAACCGACCGTTTTTTCGAGCATTTTTATGACATGGAAAGGTACAAGAAAAAAAACATTTAAAATAGCAAAATCGATAATTTGGAGCAACTAAATGTCAATGATCATTGGTAAACCTATTAGCCGGTTCATTTTAGCGGTAAACCGCGGTAAATTGTAGCGATGGGAGCCGATAATTGTACTAGTAAAACCGCGGTTAACCACCGGTTTTCTTCCGGTTTTTATCACATGGGATATTACTTTTTCAATATTTACAATGGATATCTTTCAACTTAATGAATTAGCAGATGATATGATGAACTTATATGATGATGACTTCTACAATTTTCTTGAAAATTCATTAAATAAACATTTATATGAGCTTTTTCGAGTGCAGACTATTCAACATGTGACTTCATTGTCGTCAATAACAATTGATCAAATAATAGAAATACTTACTGCTGATATTATTAATTTGAATAATTTGAAAAAATCACTTGGTTTTGTAACAACTGATGGAAAATTTCATCTCCGATTTGGTCATCGAGATTTATTAGAATGTTTATTAATATTAGGAAAATCAAAGAAAAATTTGTCTATTAAAGATTTCGATCTTACAAATAAATATATGAAAAATCAAACTCATGAAAAAATTTTAGAAATGTGAAGGCAAACATTCAGTTCATCGAAAGTAACCTGTATTCCAGTTTTGTTTCCATGGATCAACAACATTTTTCAAAATTTAGAAAAAGCGAAAAATAAATATTGTTATGATGATTAGATACATGAATTTACTTCATTAATATTCATTTTTGGAGGTCGAAATTGTTATGAATTCCTTCGTCTTAATTTACCATCAGCAACACCTCACTTAACTAATTTAGAATTGTTGATAAGAAATCAAGAATTCAAGATGATTGAATGCGAACTTCGGCTTAATTTGTTAAAAGAATATTCACGATCAACCAATTGTAATTATATTTTTGTTGCTGAAGATGCAACTCGTTCAATATTTTGTATTGATTATAAGGCACAATCTAATTTGTTTATTGATTTTTCATTACCATTAGTTAATGGGGTACCACAATCGAATTTTTTCGGACAGAAAAGTTCAATTTATTAAAAAATTGGTTTGGTGGAACAGATACATCAAAATTTATTAATCTTCATATGGTAAAATCTTTGAAATCATCTGCTTCTCCTTTCATTTTATGTGCTTATGGTTCGAACAACAAGTTCGAAGCGACAGATATTTTAAAAAGATGGTTATTTAGTTATATTAAAAGCTTGATTCAAGGTTTAAGAGTAATAGGTTTTAGTACTGATGGTGATTCTCGTTATCTTAAAGCAATGAGATTATGTTCTCGTTTTTTGCCGAATTAGCAAATTTAAATTTATTCAAGTATAATAATTAATTTGATATAAAAATACCTGACCAATGGTCTTGGTTTTTTATGAAGCAACAACAAACTTTTCTTTTTATGCAAGATCCGATACACCTTGCAACAAAAATTCGCAATAGACTATTTTGTATAGTACCAAACTTGAGAATGGGAGATTTCTCAATTGATATTTAGGGCATTCCAAAAGTAGTGTCAATGACACTTTAATACTGTATAGTAAGCTTGAAGAAATTTTCTTTTTTTATGTGGCAATAGAGAAAACGATACGCTGTTTGTCTGTGCTATTTGATCACTTTTCAACTAATATCATAATAATAAAATTTCGATAAAAAATGTTTTTGTATAAAACTTCACTAAGGGGTGAGACAGATTAAATGTTTCAATCACTTAATACATTGTATTAAAAAACAGAATATAATACAAGATTCAGCGTGAAAAGCTCTACAATTTACATAAGATCGCTTATTTTATAGTTGCACTTTTTGTTTTCAAAATGAACAAAATTTTGAGCGATCAATTTTCAACCGTGTGAAAACAATACATTTTTGGTACAAGATGAATTCATTTTTTCTCATTTCATCATTTTGTCACCTAATATCTTTTATTTAAAAAAGATGAAATACATCACAAGATGCAGCGTGAAAAGCTCTACAATCTCCAAAGTAAAAGTCATTTTAATTGTGTACTTCTTGTTTTCAAAACAACAAAAGTTCTGTGCGACCAATTTTTGCTGGTCCGAAAAAATCTCTTTTTTTCTTATTTCATCCATAAAATAAACCATTCTTTAAAATTTGCAGAGCTTTTCCTGCTGCATCTTGTCGTATGTTTTGTTTTTTAATCCAGCGTATTAAGTGATTGATAATTGAAATGTAAAACGTATTAATATGTCTCACCTCTTAGTGAAGTTTTACACAAAAACAGTTCTTATCGAAATTTTATTATTATCATATTAGTTGAAGAGTGATCAAATAGCACAGACAAATAGAATATCGTTTTCTCTATCACCACATAAAAAAAGAAAATTCCTTCAAGCTTACTATACAGTATTAAAGTGTCATTGACACCACTTTTGGAATGCCCTAAGTATCTAGCCAACAGTTATTAGAATCTTTTTCACTGCATTCAGACATCCGAACTCATTTGAATTGGTAACGTTTGCAATTCTTTTTGGCTTTTAGAACTCAGTGACAGTATTAAGGGAATGTTCTAAACCTTATTGAAACGGCTAAGAAATTTCAGCGTTTTCATTAGAAACTCGTGATCGAATTCGCTGTAGATGCTTTTTTTGACGATTCATTATTGACATACCTATTTTGAATACTCCAAGCAGTACAAAGTATCTGAAATTGACTCATTAACAAATTTCTAATGCAACTAACAAGTCTCTTCTCTTAAATCGGACAATATACTTATAATTCATTCGTCTACATTTTAAAATATGTTATTCTACTTATTGTTTGTATCAGGTCGTTCACGATCTCAGACTCACACATCTTTGCATAATTTCATTGAAAAGATTTTTAGCATCTGTTAGAATGTGCCATTTTTTTTCTTTCACACAAATCAGTCGCCTGGTCTTTTTCAATATCAGAATATGTTAAAATCTCTTTGGAAGATCAAAAATTTGTCACATGTTATTGTCACTGTTTTTACATAGTACACTGATATATGCATATTAATGAAAGTCTATACCGCTTTCTACCACAAATAAATAAATAAGTATTATTAATTTCTAACCGAATATAGGTTAACCAATATTCTATCTTTAATAGATTCTACTTTAAGCCATTTTGGTTAGGAAGCAATGTATAATTTATGCCTTTCATTGAATTACAGCACTTAAATATCAGATTCTTAGTTCTCAAAGGAAATGCAATCAGTTGGTATTGATGCTTTTGATCAACATGGTATTTGATCTCATGTTTTATCATTTATTCATTTATTTTCCATAATTTTTCCTATTTATTTTTTCTATTATGATTTACAAGGTGTTTGAGAGCTCATAAAACTTTAAGCTGGAAAAGTACTAATCAATTTTTTAAAAATCTAGTGTAAAAAATCAAAAATAAATCATAAAAACATGCTAATTAAGAGGCATAATTTATTGTTTGTTGTTGGGATTTTTTATTATTCCTTCTAATGGTATAGAATTCGGCATCTGATTGTTCAGAATTAGATTATCTATAATTTTTCCAGCAGATAATTTTCAATCCTATGTATCGTTTGTTTGGAAAGTTATCAGATATAAAAACTTGAATATTACTACCATTGTAGCATAGTTTGCAGACTAGTCTCACTATAAGAAACATTTGTTTAGAATAGTTCCATGTGGAGCTATTCTGAAAAAAAATGTTTTTTTTTTAAATTTTATTATTTTAATTACTGTTAAATCAAAATAAAAGATATAGACGAGTTAATCTTATCGATTATTAGTATCAGAAGTGCTCTATCTACTGGTGCAAAAGTTACTAATTAATCTTGATCACATGATGAGTAAAATGATTTAGAGTGAAGTCCACATTTTTCAGCAAGTTTGTCTGAGTGTTCATAACAGCCTCATTCTATCGGGCATATGTTCATGATAATCCCATATGAGGTTATTCTGAACAAACGACGAAGCTTTTAGCAAAATAGATGATGAATGAATTGTTAAAGGTATTTCTTGAAGATTTTTAGATAGGTATGTAGAGAACACTTCAAGCTTCACATCAATGTGTTTTTTCTCAAAAATATCAAAAAATAAAAAAGTTATTAAACTTTTAACTTCATTTTTTAAAAAATCGTTCAGAATAGCCCCTATCCACTCTAGATCCTTAGCATTCGAAAACTATGTTGAAGATCAATTGGAAGATATTATCTATCATGGATATTAATTTCAATTATATAGAATCTATTTAATTATGAAATACTACTTTCCAAAGAAATATTCATAAAACATCAAAATATTTCGAAATTTTGCTACAAATGTAATTAGATAATAGTGAAAATTCAATGGAATTTTTCTCGTGTGCATTAATGAACTATGTTTATTTTTAGCTCTATTATTTTTAGAGAGAAAGTAAGAAACGTGATGCTTTTTGTGGCACGTTCATCGATTGAATAAGAAACCAAATTGAAAGCATTAAAAGAGAATTTTTCTTCATTTACAATATAAAATGAGAACTAAGTGGATTTCTTCCATTATTTGTTTTTCATTTATCTATGCATCATAATAAACTAGTTTAATTAATGTTCACCTAGTCTCAAGGGGGAAACAGCAGAGACTTCAGCCGTGAAGTCTCATGAAATCTTGAAAGTCTTTCGAAGTCTTCTGAAGTCTCTTGAAGTCTTATGATGTCTCACAAAGTCTCTGAAGTCTCTGAAGTTTCATAAAGTTTTATGAAGTCTCATGAAGTCTCATGAAGTCTAATGAAGTCTCATAAAGTCTTTTGAAGTCTCATGAAGTCTTTTGAAGTCTCATGAAGTCTCTTGAAGTTTTTTGAAGTCTCTTGAAGTCTAATGAAGTCTCATGAATTCTTCTGGAAGTTTTGAAATACATTTATCCCAGGGCAAACAGTCAGACACTAAGATCGGATAAGATTCTGTGTCTGATCATGTATGATCTTGTACAATTCATACCAAATCGTACAAAAAATCTTATGCGACGGTAGGATCTGATAGAAATCTTGCAGTAAGAATTGATATAAGATTTCAGAGACTACGATTTTTTGTACGATTTCATATATTCGTACAAGATCTGCTGTCAGATTTTTCGGCCTGGGTAGTGCATGAAAATTCATAAGAAACCAATAAAATTGTTTTGTTTTCGATGACCTTATTTTAGCAGAAAGGGGGACTTTTTTTTTTTTTTTTCAATGTGCTGGAAAAAAAACTCAAGTTTGTTGGATCTTAGAAAACATGATAGTTAATAACTGAATGCTTTTTGAATGAAGTGATTTAGTTTTATAAGAAATGTTCCATGTATTGAATGTCAGTCTTATGAAGAATTTTATTCCTTTTTGTTTGTTTCTATCACTCGTGATAATCTATCAGCCGATAAACGGCTAGCTTTGTCGGTCAATAATAGGCATGCACCAAACCCAAACCCAAACCCAAACTGTTTGGGGGTTTGGGTTTGGGTATTGAGTTTGGGTTTGGGTTTGGGTTTGGGTTTGGGTATTTGAGTTTGGGTTTGGGTTTGGGTTTGGGTATTGAGTTTGGGTTTGGGTTTGGGTTTGGGTATATGAGTTTGGGTTTGGGTTTGAGTTTGGGTTTGGGTTTAGTG